ACTCAAGGTTTACTTCACCCAAATAGTGTTATGTGGTAAAAGGCAAGACAATCTTCTGTCCATTATTACAAATGCAAACTACACACTTCCTTTTTACAGCAATGAAATTCTTTCTTAAAAACTTAAAATTACGACATTTTGTTGCATTTTTGAAGATGGAAATCAGACAATGTTTTTGTGTTTTCTTACAGTTTTTGTGACATAAAATTAGTATTTTTTTTTACCAAACATTTGTTTTGAACATATTTTATTGCATTTTTCATACAAAGGGATTGGTAAAAAGTTTCTGCAACTTAGAAAAACCTTTCTCAACATTTCTTCTTACTTCAACTTTAAAGGTATATTAGCATCTCAGAAAATGAATTGCATCGTCAGGTATGCAAAAAAAAAAAGATGTATAGAAAATGGTGAAGTATATCTTTTGATATGTAATCAATCGATAGGTCCATTATCAAGGGCAGGATGCGACTCTATAATTCGTTTCTATTACACGAAAAAAAAAACTTAGTGTAAAGATATTCTTAAACGATGGGTTTTATGTGATCACAAAAATTGTCTTATAGTTATCTTTTTTTGTCATCTTAAGTAAATATTCGTGATTTTTATTACATGAATCAAGGATATATTGCATAATGGAGATAACGAACGGTATTTAAGATCAAAAGTCCAGAAAACAATACAAAAAAGGAGCAGAGCTAACACGGACCTCCTAAATAACAGAGGTGGGATCAGGTGCCATGGAGGAGTGAGCATCCCCTGCCGACAGGTCGCACCCGCCGTGTGATCCTTGTCATGATCGGGAAATAAGAGAAACTTTGTCATCAATTCAGCGTGTAAAAAATGACCAAACAATTAGTATGGAAACGTCAGTCAGCATTTGACTCAATGATAAATTGTATTTGCTGACAAGATCATTATATCGACCACAGAACTTACGAAATGATGACTTTAAACGAGTCTGCTGATATTTTTGTTTCAGAAACTTGTTTGTCAATAATTTACCTCGTGTTAGAAATTGTTCATTCGTAGAGCATGCTCTTGCGTATCGAATCAACTGAGCTATATAAACTCCGTATACAGGTTTTTATTTATAAAATTTTGGACAAACTCTGTTTCATATGAATACAAAAATAGGTCTGCTAATAACGGGCGCAATTGGTACCGATGGGAATTCCAATAGATTGCTGGAATACTTGGTCTCCAAAAACAACACAGATATTGTCAATCAGAAACTCAAGCATCTTTTTTATGTCAAGTGGCTTTTGTATGGTCTCCTTTTTGGTTGAACTACTGATTCTTTTTTTACTTATTCGTATCAAATTATGAATGATGCATTACCTTTATATATCGAGGACGACAACACGTGCCTGTATGGGACTGTTAATTTTGTCATCCATACTACAAATAAGAAAAACGTTGGCTCGTCTCGGCAAATATTGTCACCGGCGCCAATATGTATCTTTGTAAGACATTATGTCGGCTCGTCTATGCAAGCTTGAACTTGGTATCAATTTTTGCCGACGACAGAATGACAGTATGCATCGTCAAAGATGTACATGTACTCTGGATATTGGAAAAGTACATAGTTACATCTATGCTTTATATTCAATTTAACTAGTTATTATTATATAAAAGAATTGACAAATTTCAGTGGTGTGTGGTCTTTAAGTCCATTGGTGTAGTCAATTCAATTCTCGCAGAAGAAACGGTATAGGTCTTTTAAAATTCAAACGATACAGAGTTCTGTCTGTTCAGTAATAACGAGATATAGTTTATGGAGATATGGCTTTAATAACATCACCTATCATTGAAAACTAAAATATTATTGTCAAGCAACATCTCTATTTCTTTTTACTTCTCATTTGATGATGAAATACCCTACGTGTTTCAATGACATTAGGTATTTTTCGTTGAAGAAATGAGTATAATATTTCATAGCATTATTTTTCTATATTTCACGAGGTTTGCTCCTCAGCTTTTCAGAAGATTTTTGTCTTGGCTTCTATGTAAAAAAAATCTACATAAGTTTTAGTTCTCACAATGAATTTGGATTCTATTTAACTACATTCAATTAAGACCCCATGATTAAATTCCATACCGAAAACATTAAGTGAGGAATTATATTTTTTGGCGGAAGTTTTTTTTTTAGAAGAAAAAGATCAATTTTTCCTCTTTCAATTCAGTATTGTTAAGTATTGGATTCCTATTTTTACATGCAGGCTGTACACAGAGTAGAGAGTGAACTGTTCTATGCTGGTCCTAAATTCTATACTTAATATCGCCATGAATTCTATGACCATATTTGGAAAATATATCAAATATATCATGAAAGTCTTTTTAAAAAAAATCGCCCAATTTTTAGCTTAAAATAAGCACTATTTTGTAATATAAAAATAACATCACAGACTTCTACCTTTTATATCATTTTCTGAATATATATAAGATAATTTTAACCACTCTGCTTTAATTCTGAAAAATGTCAATATTTTCAAATGATTTTATTGCCTTTTGACTTTTGAACAGTAGAAAAAAAAATATATATTTTTAATGCAGAGAGGTCAATTGACTATGTGAAGTTATAATTTGAAACTACTTTTATTGTCAAAACTTTTTAATGTGATTAAGACGGAAAAAAGACTGTGATTGATCCAATAATTCATTTGGAGAAACATTTTGATAAAATATTAAAGGAATACTTTGAAAAATTGAATTATTTGTAAGACGTTATTACAGTGCAAAAAGGTTATATTAATTGATCCGTAGTGCTAAAAGTATAGCGCACGGACCCAATTTTTAGTTTAGATTTTTTGTTAAGCTTTGTGTAGATTCTGAAAATATACTTGACAAAAAATTCTCAATACTTTCGATGTCAGGATCAAACCTCCTTCAACGTTTTTGTTTACATTTACGAGTAGCATCGAAACAAACGAATTTGGACATACAGTACCAAGCCCATACATGATCAATCTGGAGACAATTTGTAAATAGGATGTAAATCTAACTTAAGCCATTCCTTCAAATTGAGAATTCCAATTGACGTATTTTTTCATTGAGAAGACTTTTAAATCAGGAAATAAAACAGTGGTATCTTTGGAGTAGTGTAATTCAAACCTAATAAAAATCAATGGCCATATCTTCCACCTGTATTACTGAACTCAACATTAAACCGATCTTCATTACGCTTCATCTAGGATTCGTATTGTTAATTTTAAGAATCAATTCTTTTTATAACATTTGAATAAAGATCTGTGTATAAACTGCTAAAACATCCTTTTATCATCTCATCAGGGGTCACGTGGTGATTTTTTTTTCATTGATCGGTTTTTCATAAAACAAAATTTTAATTCCTTGTCACAGTGACGTATTGCGGTATAAGATCCGCTGTTAAAACTAAATTTACAGACGAAAACTTCACCGGGTGGAAATTTAAAACATGGATTAGAAGACCTGAAAGTGTTAAGAAGTCCTATGAAGTGCAATAAAACCTCTGCCCCAAAAATGTGTTCATAAGTCTATTATTACTTGTGCGCTTGACTCTCACAAATACGGGATTAATCACTTATGATTAGGTGTATTGGGGAGATTAAAAGTAAATTCTAGCTTAAGAAATATTCATATTTACGACTTTAACTTCGGAGAAGAAAATATAAGGAAAATTGTCACATGGATATAACTTACGATTATTAGGATTGAAATTAACATTCTATTGCATCGGAACTGAAAATGGATGAAAGATACAGACACATCATCAAACTTCACAGGACGTTTCTGACCAAGAACATTGTATGGACGGACAGTTTACTGAAGTCCCTGAGAGACGAAGGATTGATACCAGACTCTGTATACAGGGCAATACAGGTATTCCACTTTGAAAGGTTTCTTAATTAAGTTCAAATTCATTTATTAAAAAAAATAATGAAACAGACCATTTACAAAGGCATCTTACTATAACTAGATCTATATAGTATACATTAATTGTATTGTTGATTTATTAAACTCTGGCAATGATCTTAGCTACATGATTAATTCTCTTTTTTTCACTTTGTCAGTTCTTTCATACTTACTTATTTTCAGTAGACTATAGATTTATTTTTCGGATCATTTTGAGACAGATGTCTTTTGTATTTGTTTTGATGAAAAAGTCTTGTAGGGAATTTAAAGATAAGTGCCCCAGCTTAGTTTCCAGCTAAGTTCCCGTATTTTAAACTTGTTTTAATTGGAGATTTCGTCGATATTGATAGGGTCAGAGATAAGATTCTTTCGAATACATTAAGTGGGCGTTGCCCTGAATCATTCGAAATTCATCTGTCCTCTGTGTAAAAAAAGATATTTAGTTTGAATACTATACATAATTTTAAGAAAGAGCAAATCAATTAAAATCTAAAATAATAAAATAGTACTACTTATCCAATTTACATCTCTTTTAGCAGTAAAGTTAACTAACTTTGTGCATAATGAGTTGTTTTTTTCTAATTAATTATAAACATAAACATATTAACAAATAATTCCGTTCAAGAAAAACAATTCTTCTGTCAAAGGATTAAAACATGGAATTACTGAATTTGTACAGTTGTATTTTTAACTGTTCAATTTAGTTAATCAATAACACTTCATTCAAGATACTAGACTAGCTGCACCAAGTACAAGGATAAATGCTCCCTTGTGTTTCGCCATTTGTTGACACAGGCCCAGCATGTTTTATAACAAATGGCATATACATATGATACGGCCAAATCTTCACTGTTCAAACAACCCTTTTCTCATAGGAACAAAAATATGCAAATATCGACAAAATGAGTTTAACGAACATGCATTGATATGATTCTAAATCAACGTTGACATCAAAGTAATTACCGAGACCCCGATCATTAATCTGCATTTTATCTGGTCTACCCTTAAACAAGTGAAATCTTTTGTGTGAATATCCTCTGGCAGACAATTTTAATTGCTAGTCTGGTTTTAATTCGAAACTCATTACAAATCTGTCCTTGGCAGGAATTAATATTACAATCTAGCATAAAGGTTTGGCCTGTGCAATTCTCATAAGAGTATTAAATATGCGTCCATTTCGGAATCAATCAGCGAATTAAAACCAGCACTGACTATACCCTTTTTTTCACTCTTGTCCTTACCAAAGCCATTTCGGACAAAGTTCGCGACAAGTAGAATTTTCACCCAGTGCCACAAAAGAATCCTACATTTTTAATTATATTGAATTCTGGTGTCGATAATATGTCTTCTCATATTTGTTAAGGATTAAATTCCCATTTGGTGGGGACAGTAATGCCTTTTTTGTGTTTGGACTCCAGTGATATCGAATTGTTGCGATTTTAAATCATTCATGCTGGGTTTTATGTAGCTGGTCATCCGGAGGAGCAATATTACTTGGCACAAAATACATTTTTATTTCTGGAATAAAAATCCAAGCAAATATAAACTTTTTCTCTCTTTTGAAAACAAAAGATAAAATGTTTATATTTTAAACATAATGCTTTTTGAATACAAAGACTAGTGTTTTCATAACGGTAGCTATTTCTCAATGTCTTTCTTGACGATAAAAACTCGTGTTTAAATCTTCATAATACAATCATACAGTTTAAAGCCCACGTTGTTATTTTTTTTAACCCTACTAAATGTATCACATTCGATCCAATTTATATTCAGATTTTTTAAAACACTTCTTTGACTGAGAATTTTACCATGAAATTACCAACACAGGATTTATTTGAAACGTTAAGTGCCTCCTTTTCCAAAGTTACGAAGAAAAATATTTGGAGATTCGGTGAAACTTTCAGGATGTTAGGGGCAATTTTGTTGAAACAAGTCTAGCTTAGTCACCAAAGAAATTAACATACCTATAATTCTTATACTTAAGGAGTATCTCATAGGTTATAGACTTTTAAATGAAAACAAATCGATCAAAGTACGTATTATTAAGACTTTCAACACCCCGAGACGACAACAGTTTCATTCTTTTAAATGCCTTTTGACGGGTTGATGTCATATGTGTCGTATTTGGCAAACACTGTAAACAAAATCTTTTTTATTAATTCCACAAATCTTTGATGTTGTCGACTAAACGATAAAGATTACGAGTACAACAATCGGACACTCTATTTCTCAAGTTTATAACATACGTTGTTTACTAATTATTGAATTTTTTCCTAATGCTTCCAAAGTTATGTGGAGGGCACTTAGTATATAGTATTTTTGCCATAGTATATTGTCCTTTAAATTATGTCCCCTTCAATTAAAAAAAATGCGTTGCCCACTCCTCAACTTAGAAACCGTTTTTACGGGCCTGATGTCCTCATTGACGATTGACAATATTTACTAAGTGAAAGACACAATAAATGCCCCTCCCTTTCCGAACACTTCTGTTTGTCTTGAATGTAACTAGAAATGCTTGTGTGATACAAAATCAGACACGAAAGCTAAATGAACAAGGCCTTTTATTTACATGTATGATCCATTGTTAATTTATTATTATTTTCTATACCCGCCCCCTTGTAAGATACTCAAAATATTAATTTGACTTGTCAGTTGTCAGATTATTATGTCGAATTGTCCCATCTTTCTGTTGACTTATCACGTATTCCATGTTTAACAATTCAATATAAAAATGTTCAAATGGCAAGTTAAGAGCATAAGTTACCAACGTATCTTTTTCTGACTATTCAACATAGATATCTGATAATTCAACAAATTGATATGACAAGTCGACATACTGTGTAACGAGTCAACATAATTTTCTGACAAGTCGACATAATATTCTAATAGTTAACACTTGTCAGAAAATTATGTCTACTTGTCAGAAATTTATGTTAACTTGTTAGATAATATAACAGGTAGATATCATTAACTGGCTTTAACATGCTGTCATAACAAGATATCGAATTTCTTTTCGTGATAATTTTTTAACTGACAAGTGGACATTTTTATCTGACAAGTGGACATGAACATCTGACAAGTCGACATAAACATCTGACAAGTGATGATAGAAATGTGTCACCATTAAAATCTCCAGTTTTATGAAATTATTTTAGATATTAATTTTTTCTCTGTCCATCTCTAATTTTGTTTTAGTAATGTGATAGAATTAACCAATTTTTAGTTCCATCAATCGAAACCAGCAATTTCAAATCCAAAGCCTATAGAAACACAAATATTCTATTCCACATTTACAGCTGAGTTGTTGAAAAAACTGAATCACAATTATTGCATAATAACTCATGTATTGATAAATGAAGGACTGAGTCGGATCACTTTACTTTGCCCAGCTTTATTTTGCTTCGTTTTTATTTATTTCCTGTTATCTTTTACATTTGATTTATTTCTTCAATATCAATACTCAACTCCAATAAAATACTTAAATGAATGTTTCGTTATTTACGAGAAAAGTAATACAAGATACACCGCACATTGAAGTTCTTCAATTTCTGAATATAAAAAACGCACAAGGGTATTATAGATTTTTTAAATAAATTTACTGAGGAAAGCGAATTGCAATAAAATTGCAGTTCATTGCATTGGTTGTATATTTATAGTATATAGGTTAATGGTCTTTTGAAACCTAAGTAAAAAACCTCTGCTATTGTATGGTTCGATTTGGTAACTAATCGGCCTAAGCCTGGAACAAACACTTTGGACGAAAGATTTTTATTTACTACATTGTATCGGCATCGTAATAACTGTAGGCATTAATAAGATCAAATAATCGAATTAAACAGGCCATAAAGTTAACACCACTTATTTCTTTTTTTAAATCTGTCATGTAAGTTTATGAAAAATTATATTTTTATTGTTTTTTTACTGTACTCCAATAAACGCCCATAAAATAGTAAGGTCGCCAGCGTGGTTGCGCAGTTTTAGAGGGCTTGTTCTTATGGCACGGAGTAAGGAGTCGACCCTTACTTTGCGATTGCAATTCCATTGCGGGACGGGTAAAAGACTATATAAACCGAGATTCAATGTCGCAGAAAGTGCTGACATGATAAAGATCCTTCACTGCCCTAAGGCCCATAGTGCCAAGTAAGGGGCTAAAGCCCTTAGTGGACAAGTCGTCCAAATATGTGGAAAATTCTCGACTGGACGTTAAACAAACAAATGAATACCCGGAGCCCACTTAGAGGGGACGTATTAACGCAAGCCTCCAGTACCAGTCTCATTTGAAGGTTTATAGACTGAACAAAAAAGTAAATGAAACATATGGAGATAGCGAACAGTATTCAAAATTAAGGCCATAAAACAATACAAAAAAGGAGCAGAGCAATTACGGACCTCCAAAACATCAGAGGTGGGAACATCAGGTGCCACGGAGAAGTGAGCATCCCCTGCCGATCGGTCAAACCCGCCGTGTGCTCCTTGTCATGATCGGGAAATGACGTCGTGACTTCAGTGTATAAATAAAGGACTAACAATTAATATGAAAAACGTCAGTCAGTATGTGACTTAATGATGAATTGTATTTGCTGACAAGGTCATTGTATCGACTGTTGAACTTACCAAATGATGATTTTAAACGAGGCTAAAGGTATATTTGTTTCATCAACTTGTTTGTCAATAATTTATCTCGTTTTAGAAAGTATTTATACGTAGAGCATGCTTTTGTGTCTCGAATCAACGGATATATAAACTGTATGCAGATGATGAGGGTATATTGCTGCATAAGTTTTCTTTCAAATTTTCTTTTAAACAAATTCATTTGTTCCTTTCTTACATGCTGTATAATTTTTTTCGTTTGATTGAATTATGAAGTTTACCCATGAAAAATGAATGTTTCATACTGAATTCTTTCCATTTGTTAAGCAAGACTGCAAGTCAATCATCAAATGCCTTTAGAATAATATTGTGTCCAAATACTAAAAACGTCATTTCGAAGAAAATAAAAATAAAAACATTCTAATATTTAGATATTTTACTTGAAAAAGACGTTAATGATTGTCTAACTAACAAGCTTTATGATAAACGTGACGACTTTAACATTTCAATCGTCAGCTTCACTTACGTATGCAGCAATATACCATCCAATATATCATCAACACTTGCATACTAAGTTTATATCTCATTGTTGATTCGATACATAGGAGCATGTCATGCTCAATGTACGAACAATTACGAAAACAATGTTCATTATTGACAGACAAAAAGCTGAATATCAGCAGTCTCGTTAAGAGCCACCATTTCGTAAGTTCTATGGTTGATACAATGACCTAGGCAAATACAATTTATCATGGAGTCAATTGCTGAGTGCCGTTTTTCATACTATATTGTTAGTCATTATATTCACATTGAATTGTCGACGAATTTTTCCACTATTTCCCGATCAGGAAAAGGAACACACACCGGTTGGCAGTGGATGCTCACTCCATGGCACCTGATGCCACCTTTGATTTTTTGGAGACCTGTCCGTGTTTGATTTGCTCCTATTTTGTATTGCTTTTGGGCTTATGAGCTTGAATTCTGTTTGTTTTCTCCCTACATATCATTGACATTTAAATTAGTTCAATAATTTTTTCTGGTTTTTGTAACAGAAGACAATATTAGCCGATTTTATGACACAATTTCTCTTTGCCGTAGATCCCAAAGAGATGAATTGTTTTTGAAAGCCAAAAACTGAATATCAAGTAGAAAATCAATTACATTTACTGTTGGATTATCATTGCTGAGGGAGGACCAATGTTCATGGATTTCGTGGGTCACTCTTATGCACGATTTTACATCAAACATTTATTTTGTTAACACATTACTATTTGAATTATTTGTTTAAACAAGTTACCCCAAAATTACGTATCTACGAACCAATGAAATTTTGCTTACCCACGAACAATAACCCCCATAAAATTTAAACGATTCCACAGTATAAAAATAGAACAAGAAATAACCAGAACTGTCAGTGACACAGAAATTTAGAGCATCAAATAAATGTTCTAGTACATGTACATTTTTGTAGCAGACTGATGCTCAAATTGTTTTTGCGTAATTTAAGGAGGCCACGACTCGTGAACAGAAGATTGGGTGTGTTCTAGATATCCTCCCCGTCAGAGGGGTCTCCGACTCTTACAACAGATTCTGTGATGTCCTCCAAAAGTGTGGCCACGACTTTCTAGCAGACTTCCTGCGAGATGAAGGTATGTATGCATACATGTTTGTCATAGGAAATGAAATAAAAATAAAAAGTTAACGCATTCTGAACAAGTTAACTACACTACATATATTTTTGAGAACGAACACATCTAATTTTCAATCATTCATATTAAAGTCATTTTCATTGATCAAAAGAAATCTAAAACAATACAAGTAATTTTCTATTGTAAACTTCTTTATTAAGAAAAGGGAGTTAAACAGTCGAAATGAATTTTTGTATAAAGAACGACAGTATATTTTTTTTAACGTAACACAATGTCGAATTCAGTGAATCTTTTATATATCTAGGAACTTTGGATGATGGTAAGTCTTTCTGTCCATCCTTTGCATGCTACGTCGTTTATTTGTAAATGCTTTTGGGAACTGGGAAAGTGACATTGTATAATAAGTCGTATTATTAAATCCAATTTCAAGGAATCAACCGTAATATCAATTATTAAGTAGTAGTAAAATCATATCAACTTCAATTCTATAAAATATCATTTTGCAAGAATTTTTATATTCACTTTTTTTACTTAGCATCAATCATTATGCAGACATTTAATCAATATTTGTATTTTTAAATCATATTTTAATTAACATTAATCATAATATAGACGAAGATGAGATAGACGAACGAGAGCTCAGTAAGTTTCAAGATGTCTAAAAACGTCAACCCATAAGAATCACTTTTCAACCAATTATCATTAATATAATATAATTATTATTAACATAATACTAACATTTGGTGGTAGATTAGTACGAGTATTTACTAATCTAGTAATAATTTTTATTGGAACTCTTAACTTTGTTTTTTTATCTGCTCTTTGGACAATTTATTCTCTCTTGTACAGATTTTACAAAAAAAAAAAAATCACAAAGAAAAATCACATCTATACTTCATTCTCATCTATATGGTATTTTTATATCTGCCCCCTCCCCTGCCTTATAATAACTGCCCTTTCGCCGAGTTTCAGAACTTAACCAAACCTTTGAACCAACAAAAATATAAAGACTGAGACATCGTATACAATATTCTTTAAAAGAGTTGAAATAAGATCAAAACTGAATTTCATATTTTCAAATAACGTTTAAAAAAATTACAAATACCTCTTAAATGTCGGGTAAAATTAAAAATTCCAAGTAATAACGATACTATTCTTGATATGATCAATTTATTTTCTACAGCTTTAGATCAAAAAATTGACAAAATGGTCAGGGATCGTGAAAAAAGAGAAAATCAAGGTATATACCGTGTGCTCTTCTTCCCACAGGAAAGACTCCCTAATGAGCACAAAATACCTTCTATACCTTATTCTTCACTTAAAAAAAATGAACCCGCCTATTTCGATAACATTCGGTTTGTACTTAACAAATGAAAGAGTGTTCACTAAGTATATTCTTTACATTCTGTAAACTATGACACACGGGTCTAGAAAATACCTTCACAAACCCTTTTCTGACTTGTCAATTTTGTACTGACCCAAATGCAAACTTTTAACAGTGACTTAAATTTTATCGGTTATACCAAAAACATAATTGCCATGAAGCAAGATTTTTTTTTTTGAAACATTCAAGCAGATCCGAACATTAAAAAAAAATCAATCACTACATCTTAAGAATTAATTCTACATCCTATGATTCTCAGATTGATACATATAAACCGACGGCGAGTAAGAAGATGAGTAAAGAGCATGTCATTTTATTTCAGCGTTCCATTTTGAACTTGGAACTATATGGGCTACCTTGTTTCTTTCAATAAGACCTGTATTTTTTTCAGATGTACTGGCCACAAAGTTTGATACCAGAGAAATGTACAGAAGGCTGCCTTTCCTCGATCGCCTACGAAGCCATGAGAGGGACGGAATAGAAAAGTTCTTTGTCGATAAGGTATTGTATATATGCTAATTCAATATTTGGTACCTTACCTTGGTTCGTCTTTTATGCGTACATTTACTAAATGTCTCTATTGAATAGATATGATGAATTTTGAACCCTATGTTAAGATTGCAAAAAAAAAGCTTTCTTATATATATGCCTTCACTAATATTTTACACCGAGTTCCGAATATCATGCAATATTTTTTTTAGAAAAAGATAATCGGTATAGATTTTATCTCTCAAAATATTTGTTGACGTACCTAATGAATTTGAAGGTAAAGTTTTAAGCACGATATATTATCTATCAATAATTTTAGTGTTGTTATTTGCACATTTGATATGTGTACTTTTCTTCTCAGTTAAGAACGGAGGCGTTAAAAATGGTATGGAAAGATGACGTCAGAGACAAGGAGAAAGCGGTGGAGGCTCGTCGTAGATTGATAGAGCAAAACGACCAGCATCGAACTGAAGCCGAAAAATGGAATACAGTATTACAAAACATGAAAGCAAAACTCGAAGATAGCAAAATGGAAATCAACGGGCTTAATGCTCAAGTAAAAAGCTTAGAAAATAATTTGAAAGAAGTATCTTCCAAGCATAAAGGAGATGTAAGCTCACAACTTCGATTCAACCAAGCCAATGAGAATCAGTTACAAAAAGCCAAAGAAAAGCTCAATAATGCAGAGGCCACATTGAGGGATATCAAGGGGAAGCTAAGTGAAGCCCTTCAGAGTCGTCCAAAAAAGTTAACTCAAAAACAGGAAGTAGAGTTACATATCAACGAATTTGCATTTTTGAGTGAGGATGTAGATAGGTTGTTAGAGAAGCACGAAGAACTGAAGAGCATCGGCATGAAATACTTTGACCTCTGCGAGCAACGCGATTTTTGTTTGACACACATGGGATTTGAGACTGGTATGGGCGCCCCCTCTCTGATGGATGCTTACAGGGAATATGCAGTGAGAACAGACGAAACGATGACAGAACTGAAAGAGAAAATTGAAGAATACGATGAAATTGTGCAAAGCTCAAAGAAAAAAGCAGAAGAGGACGAAAAGAAGAAAAATGCTTTCCAGATGGGAGCAACGGTTTGGCAATCTGCCATAATGAATGTCATGCGAAACCAACTGCAGGATGTAAAACTCGAAAATCGAAAGAAGGATACTCGCATACAACTACTAGAAGCTGAGGGTTCAAAGTCCAAAAATAGAATAAATGAATTGGAACAAGAACTGAAAAGATTGAAAAACTCAAAATCAAGAACCTCCCGGGAATTGATTAGCGTGGAAAATCTTAACGGAGCTGTATCGTCCGTAAGTACTGATAGGAGCGATCGTCTGCAAGATTTTGAGGAAGAAACAAAGAAGAGGAGAGCGAGTAAAGAGAATATATTACCACAGATACATAAGCAGACTTTCCCTCCCGCACAGTACACAGTTCAGGTGAGTAGTACGAGAAAGTCAATCGATGCCCCACGACAACTGGGAATGCCCACAAACAAATTTGCTGCTTTACCGGATGGGCTAACAACGGCCCCAGTTCGTCTGGAGACAAAACACCAGTACAACAAATATCTAGCAAAAAGTGTTCCAGGGCTGGGAGATCTGAAGGCTATGAATGCCAGAAACAAGTTTGAAAAATCACTAAATCCTACAAAAGTTAGGAATTAGAAACGATTGACAACCAAACTTTAGTTTTGGAAGTAAGGGGAAGTAAATCCATCCGATGTTTCGCATTAAGAATGTGCCAATAATCAGTATTACATGAACATATAAACTTGTATTCTTATGACAGTCTACCAAGCTATAACAAGTACCATGTGGAGTTGTAATGATGGAAAATCTTTATTTCTACAAACAACATGTGCTTTATTTTTTTCTTTCGTAATCATTTACTTTCGTTCGCTCAAATTTCCTAAAAAGAAAGCACGATAATGTAAAAGAGTTTTTGAAACTGTATTTGCTGTAAATACTGGCATTACTTGTGATAATTATACTGTGATATCTATTTTAAGATTTATACTTTATCTACTTATTATTTGAATTAAAACATTTAAAAGTGGATACAAGTCTTCCTACCGTTTCTTGTTATTACACCATGTACTAATTACATGTATTTACTGAGACATGAAATGAAATGTAAGGCACAAAACATTAAGTTTTCCGTTTTTCATTAATAACTATTTTCTGAAGAAGGAAAATGGCCAATTAATTTTATCATTTTGTAAAGTTT